GCAGAAGCGCTGCAGGTGCGTGATGTGATATGATGGCCATTTGAAATCTCATGTTCTGTTGTTTGCTGCTTTTTGCGCATGTAAAATTAATCCCCGGGAAACAAATGTTAGTATTTTTAACGGGTCACAGACACTTATCCTTTCTAATTTAATTCAATTGTAATTTTAAATAATCTTGTCGGTTAACGGTTAACAATCGGTTAACTAGCGTCGGTTGTCGGTTAGGAAAAATAACCGAAATGAACATCCCTACTTTAATCATAAGACTTGGGATTCCTGACGGCAGCAACTTGAGATTGCAAGCTTAAGCTTAGTTCTCTTATATCTGTTTTTTGGTTCCAGTTCTAGAATAGTATAATACTCCCATGTGAAACATTTCTGTAGGTGTGTCCTCCAAACAGCAGAACACTGTGGCGTCATCCTCTATTGTCTTGCTAGGTAGAAAAACATTTGACACCACAGTTAAAAGTATCTCTGGTTTTGATAAAATGCTTGAATGGACCTTACATTTCCTAAAAGGCTAACACGCTCTCGCTGTGGTCTAAAATGGCACCCCCTATAGGCCAAGCCCTTATTTGAAACCCTCTCTGAGGTCAGAGAGAAACTGCTTCAAATAAGTGTGGGGGAGGAGACGCCAGCCACAAAAGAAGCAAAACAACAAAGGGGCAGATAGCTCAGTGTAAAAAAGTGGTCACCCTGTAACAGAAAGAGGAGGAAAAGCCATTGTTGTCTCTGCCCAGGGGTTGTTTTACAGTGAAAAGATAGAGAGGGCCTGAGGGGGGAAACAGGGAGAACAGACCATCCCAGTGCTTGTCATCAGCTTCAAACGGTGTTTTTGATGTGGGAGTTCATCCTGTGGCGGGGCTCCCTGTGTGGGTGTAGGGTTACCCAACACACACTGGCTTCTCAAGCCTAGCTTACCAAAGGCCCCAGAACCCATGAGAGGGACTGCCTTTATTAAGAAAAAATTGTTTATTTTATCGTACCTGTTCAGTTTCAGGTCCCACTCAAATATCCATCAAGATAACCGTCCTGCACTGAAAAGCATAGAATTAGAGCAGAAAGAACTGTATTCAACTGCCACAAAGTGGCTTGACCACCATCTCATACCTATGGTTTGTTGTCTACTGTCTTTTGAGTGGTCTCCATTGTGAAGTTAACACATTGAACATTGTATACAGTTTGCAAGGTCTCATGGGTAAACACAGGTAATTCTGTCATTCACAACCGTGCTTTACTATTGAATGCAGCGGAGAGATTGGAAAATCTGTAATAATCCTGGAATGCAAACTAGCATGGAGAGAAGCATGCTTTCCGGATTAGAATTTCAGTAGACTGTGGAAAGTATGCTCTGCTGTTATAGTCAAGGCAAGCATATATGCAACATCTGGCTGATAGCATGAAATTGACTATTTTTCTATGTTTGTGCCTGTGTGTGTTATCACCTGCTCACTAACTTTGTATTATAATAAGATATTTAATATTTAGTGGTTAGATGTTCTGCGCATGAATTGGGTGAGATACTTGACCTGGGCTGTTGATAAAATTTTTTGATGTCCCACTAAAATGCTTCTATATTCCGGTGTTCATGTTTTAAATTTGTGCCCCTCGACAGATGCCGACCTGGTTATATTGGTTTGCTCTGTCAGCATCTGGACCCCTGTCATCGCTCGCCTTGTCTAAATGGAGCAGCTTGCAAGAGCCAGGTGGCCAACGGAATCCCACAGTTCACCTGTGTGTGTCAGAGGGGGTTCAGAGGTAAGGATGAGGGTGTCTTCATGTTGTCATGATATACAGTTTGTGGAAAATATAGGTCTGTTTGTGAATAACGCTTCTTGTGTTTGCAGGTCAGGATTGTTCCCTGATTGATGCATGTGCCACAAATCCCTGTGCCAATGGTGCCCGTTGCACCAATTGGAATAATCACTACAACTGCTCATGCCCACCTGGGTATCAGGGCAAGAACTGTCGCAATGATATTGATGAATGCCGCAAACCCGGAAAGTGCCTTAACGGTGGCATCTGCATGAACACACACGGCTCATTCCGCTGTGAGTGCCTTGCTGGGTACAGCGGGCACACATGCGAGGTGCCCACCCAGCCCTGCGCCCCCTCACAGTGTCTCAATGGGGGCACCTGCCATCAGACCGGTGACCACACCTACGAGTGTGCTTGCTTGCCAGGTACAAACAGACAAAAAACTTGCAGGCATTCATGTAGACACACACCCTTTATCATGTTCCCATACTCATTCTCATCCCTCGGATTCGGGGTTTCCCAAAGCTTCTGGACTTTCCAGGCAGTGATACCTCATGCTTTGCTATAAATAGCTCAGACTGAGTGAGAGAAGGATACACTGGAGAATAAGTGAGCAAGACAGTCAAAGCGTGGAAGAGAGAAAGCGAGTGGGCTGCTGTGGCAGGAATTTACTTTATGGCCTTTCTGCTCCCCTCTGGGGAGCAAGCAGGAAATGTCTCTTGCCAAAGAGGAAGTCATTGAAACCGTGAGAGATTATAAAACAAGCAAACATGGCAGGGAGTATGGCCCTCTGGAGCAGAGCTCTGTCAGGTCCTGGCTTTGCCGCTGTGGGAACCGCCGTGAGAATATGTAAACACTCAACACCCACTGAACCTTTTTACTGCTCACTTTACTGTGTACATCAATTTATCAATAGTTTTGGAGCAGGATTGAGTGGAAGTTATTAGGTGTGCCGGGGAAGTGAGGAATAGATCAGATATTATAACTACTACAGTTACCTCCCTGTTTCCTGTGTCATATCATTTCATTTCTCCGCCTAGGCTTCAGGGGACACAACTGCGAGGAGAACATGGATGACTGCCCTGGACACAAGTGCATGAATGGTGGGATCTGTGTAGATGGTGTCAACACGTACAATTGTCAGTGTCTGCCTGAATGGACAGGTAAATACGCACCTTTTTTTACATGTTTACTTTTAATTTTCTAATTAAAATAACTTGACATTGGTCTTTCTGTCCTTAGGCCAGTATTGTGCTGAGGATGTCAACGAGTGTCTCATGCAGCCCAATGCTTGTCACAATGGTGGCACATGCTTTAACACTATTGGAGGGCACACCTGTGTATGTGTCAATGGCTGGACTGGGGACGACTGCAGTGAGAACATTGACGACTGTGCTACGGCTGTCTGCTTCAACGGGGCCACGTGTCATGACCGCGTGGCCTCCTTTTTCTGCGAGTGCCCAGTGGGCAAAACTGGTATGACTTTCTTTGACATCACTCTTTATTTTTATGTTTTGTCCATTGTCCTCAGAGTCACATTCTACTGTCCCTGCAGGTCTGCTCTGTCATCTGGATGATGCTTGTGTCAGTAACCCCTGCAATGAGGGGGCAGTGTGTGACACTAACCCTCTGAACGGCCGCGCCATCTGCACCTGCCCTGCTGGCTTTGTTGGTGGAGCCTGCAACCAAGACATGGATGAATGTTCCATTGGTAAATTTACTGCATTGTGAATGCCTCCCTTTCTCCTTGATTCTTTCTGTCTCTTCCTATTTTTGTCTTTGTCAGTAGAGTGTGCAAGTATTAACTGACTCCTCTTTCTCTTTTGTGTGCCAGGTGCCAACCCTTGTGAGCATTTTGGGAAGTGTGTAAACACGGAGGGCTCATTTCAGTGCCAGTGTGGACGGGGCTACACTGGCCCTCGCTGTGAGATTGATATCAACGAGTGTCTTTCCATGCCTTGCCAGAACGACGCCACCTGCCTGGACCGCATCGGCGAGTTCACATGCATCTGTATGCCTGGTATGTCAGTGAACTTGACCTTGACTTACTCAGAAACATTAAATCTGCTTCTAATCATTGTGGACTTCCAGACTGTATGACTGTGTAGACCTACTTAAGAAAACATGCAAAGGCCAGAGGAGGTTTCGTTATGTAATAACGTACCACATAATGGTCATTTGAGGAGGAGTAATCAATTGAAATAGAAAAGCACAGTCCACATGGGTAAGTCACAGAAACCACAGACCAATATTGGCTTTGTGTCTTCAGCACACGTTCGGTAAAAACTTGTATCTTGCACGACATGCATCTTTGGGTATTTTGGGGAACTATACAAATTGGCGCTGGGAGCGGGGTGTATTGGGCAATCTGGGAGAGAGGGGGAGGAGTGTGCAGTGAATTATAATGAGATCTTGAGTGGTGGGAATGGAGTGGAACAATGGGGCCCCTCTGTGCTCCGTTCCTCGCCCTTCGCACATAGAGAGAGAGCAAACTTTTTCCCAGCACTTTCATCCCCTCCCCCCACTTCTGCTCATACCCCTTTCAATTCTACAGACACCTCTTCTTCCCCACCCTCCTTATCATTGCCGACTTGGCCCTGGCTCACATGGAGGGGCCAATTCTTTCTGATTCCATGCTGCCGTCAGTGCTCTAGCCCCGGCCCACACTCTGTTTCACCTTAATGGGGTGACACACAAGAGCAGCACTCTGCTGATTATAGAACATGTGTGTTCTCAATGGAGAGATGACCACAGGGCGTCCTGCGGACAGTAGGGTGTGGTGCTTCTAGTCAAAGAAGGGGCCCCAGTTTGCATAGATGGAGCAATTCTCCATTTCCTCAGAAACATGAACTTGCTGTAGGGTGCAGTGTAGCAGAACATCTCAGTGTGCGTCTGTGGGCCCCTGTGTTGTGAGAAACTGCAGTCTGAGATCTGTCTTCAATGCATCGAGGGTTAGAACTGTGTTTCACTCTGGCTGTCTCTCTACCAGGCTATCAGGGGAAGTTCTGTGAGGTGGATGTTGACGAATGTGAGAGCAACCCCTGCGTAAATGATGGCATCTGCCGAGACATGGTCAATGGCTTCACCTGCACCTGTCAGCCAGGTAAGAAACTTAATTTTCCCAGTATCACCAGACCAACGATATGTGTCAAAAGAATCCAAAAAGTTCACTTGTGTGGTCGCTTAATATACAATCTTGATTCATGTAATATCAGGCTAAACCCAACTTTGCCCCCTAGTTTTTGCGTTATTACTCATTAGAGTGAGGTTTTGAGCGCTATGCAACTGCGTGCCCAAACAAAGACACCATTGTGGCCCCTCTACACAAGCACCCCTCCTCTTCCCAACTTGTCCATAGAGAAGGGACAGCAGTCTCACCCGTCTCCCTCTGCATAGAGGTGGTGGGGGGGAACAGCAGCCCTGCTAATGAGATTCTTTTCCATGTCCGCAATTTACATCTGGGGCAGACAACCCCGCACCCCCCATTTAGCTATTGAGCCGGTAGCGTTTGTGCAAGGAAAGAGGGAGGGCCGCTGGCCTCGAAGAAAACAATTCTAGCATCTCCCCCTCTAACCTTCTGCCCTAGGCATCAACATAGATCCCATCATAACACTGTTAATCAACACAATACCCTCTAAAGATGCAGAAATGAACATTTCTGTGGGGCCCCATCCTTTTTTATGTACTTACTAGCACGTTTTCCCAGACAAGGGATATCAGTCAGTGTTGAAGGCCCACTGCCCCCTCAGTGCCTACACAACTGCTCATTTTCCAGATAATGTCATTTTAATCGCTGCAAAAATGTGAAGAAACTTGATTAATGTCTGCCAATATACATATAATAGGCCAGTTAATATTTAGACATAGTTCTCAAAAATTATCCACACGCACAAATCATATCTAGAATATTATTGATAAAAACATTTTCAAACCTAGTACAGGCTAGATTGTGATTGTTGGATGGATTCAGAGAATGAAAAACCTGGGCATATTCTAAAACTCTAGTATTCGCTCCAAATCAGATGTTTTAAATTCTGTTTATCAACAGTCTGGAAGAGAATCAAGCCACAGTGTATGTTAATAATGATATACACCACTAAGATCATAAATTAAAATGGAGATTCAGCGAACCTTCTTTGAAATCTCAATTTCGCTTTAGCTCCAAATAAGCCAAGGTGCAGACATCTCCAACTAGACCGAGCTCTACTGCCCCCAAAGCTGAACCTAATGACCCGACCAGTGTGTGGAGCTCACTTCTGCTGCCTCAGACTGACCTCTAACCCCTATGTTTGCCTGTCCCAGGGTTTACTGGCACCATGTGTCAGATCGACATTGATGAGTGCGCCAGCACTCCCTGCCAAAATGGAGCCAAGTGCATTGACCGTCCCAATGGGTACGAATGCCGCTGCGCTGAAGGTAAGCTGCTAAATGAAGATGTTTGTCTGATTGTGTGTGCCTGCTGTGCAAGAGCTTTGTGGAGCCCTTCAGGGTTCAAAGTCAAAATCATCATCACTGACTAGATCCATACACCTGAATGTAATGATCTCAGGGTCAAATGCTTCTTGTTTCTATGATCATACTGCTGGGCAGGCTGACGAGAAGCCCCAAATCCCCCTCCTTTGCCCTGCAGACCCCAATGTCACAGGGTCACCAAGGCCGGCAGCTGCTGACGAGTGGGGTTATGCTCGGTCATCACCCTGACATCTGTTCATCTGTAACCCACAATGCATACCCACACAGCACCGTATGGCACAACCAAAGCTCCCAACATTCATTTTCACATAGTTGTGCCTGTAGGAATGGCCTGTATGGTTTCTGGTTTTCTGGTTTTCATTTATCCAACAAATTAGCATGAACTTGAATGTGAATGTTTTGGGCTGAAGATACAGTACATACTGCATGTGTCGCTAGGCTTTTAGAAAGCACAGACATGGAGTTTGTGTATTGTCTGAAGCAGCCTGCTGTTTGGTATTCTCCGTGCTCCAATTCCCCTCTGCTGAGCTGTCCCGTTAGCTGGGACGTAGGGTATTGTCCTGCTGCTCGAGGGGACAAAAGCAGGTCTGTGAGGCCTGTGAAGGGCTCTCTCTCTTTCTCTCTCACCACCACAGCCCAGCCCTGCCCTGCTCCTCACAAGGCCGCTGCCTTGACAGCCTGTCGGCATGGAAACCACGGGAACAGAGACTCCAAACTGTAGAACCTTTCACAAGAGAGAGAAAGAAGGAAACGGAGGTATCAGACAGAAAAGAGAAAAAAAAAACGAATTGAGACTAGGGTAAGAGGAGAGACATTTTCAGACCAAAAAAGCAAGGGGGGGCAGTCAAGGGGGTGCTGGTAAAGAAGGATAAAGGGTACAAGCGAAACCAAGGAAGTATTTACACCCCAGACAAAAACACAAATAAAGGGCATTGAATCACTCATGCAGACTTTGTGAGCTACGGTGGTCATGAGAAGACAGTAAGAATATGGAAATAGTAGGAATGAGGACAATGCAATTTCGTCTCACCTAGCTTGTGCAATAATGGTCCGCAGAAGGAAAATTGTTCCTGACAGGCAAGAACTACAAACACAGGAACCTGTGGAGCAGCAGAGACTTTATGCAAATCTGATACCTCTCCATTCTTACCGCCTTGCTCAGCCCTTGAGATGTCGGGCTAACAGAAAAGTACCATTCTCTGCTCATTCACCCCTACACATCTCCTCTTTGTCTTCAGGTTTTGAGGGAAGGCTGTGCGAGAGCAACATCGATAACTGCAAGCCTGACCCGTGCCACCATGGCACTTGCATAGATGGCATTGCCAGTTACACTTGTAACTGTGAGCCTGGCTACACTGGCTACCGCTGCGAGAACCAGCTCAACGAGTGCCACAGCAACCCCTGCCAGAATGGTGGCAAATGTGTGGACCTAGTCAACATGTATATCTGCCAGTGTCAACATGGCACATCAGGTGAGGAATGATGTATCAATAATTCAACTGTATTTGTTACATTAGGTTTTGTGTGTTTCATATTAAAGAAGGTTTTTGCTTCTCAAACAGGTACCAACTGTGAAATCAACTTTGACGACTGTGCTAGCAACCCTTGTGACTACGGAATCTGCAAAGATGGCATAAACCGCTATGAATGTGTCTGCAAACCTGGCTTTACCGGTGAGACAGGGAGAGATCTCCGGCCCCCCCCAAATTTTAAATAAAAATTTTTTATATAAATAAAAAATTATATTTTTTAATACAAATTAGAGTAAGTTTGGGGATTATTCAGGGATAAACCTCACTATAAACTTCTCTTCCTTTCAGGGCCTCAATGTAAAGACGAGATTGACGAGTGCCAGTCTAATCCCTGTCGCAATGGAGGAACCTGCGTAGATGATGAGAACGGCTTCCATTGCCAGTGCCCTGAAGGCTTCCATGACCCGTACTGTTATTCACAAGTGGACGAGTGTGCCAGCAGCCCATGTTTGCATGGGGCCTGCAGGGATGATCCTAATGGGTACAGCTCCATAACAAACTTTAAAACCAGCAGGAAGGTAATAAATGGAGACTTGCTTTGAGTGTGACTCTTGTTTGCATTGCTCCTGCAGCTATCGATGTGATTGTGAGCCTGGATGGGTTGGTAAGAACTGTAACCTAGACCGAAACGATTGTTTGCCCAGCCCCTGCCAGAATGCAGGCACCTGTTTCGACCAGCTCAATGGTTTCACTTGCAAGTGTCGGCAGGGTTTTAGAGGTGAGATATACGTTACGTTAGCACAGTATGCATTTTACAATAATAACAACAAAAAGAGATTTTATTACACATTGTTCCACCGAAAAGAACAGACCATCCTCTCATATTTAATTCAATCTCTACCACTGAAAAGGGTGTAATGTTTCCCTAATAAAGCATTAAAACATCCCCTACTGCAAGTTCTTAAACATTTCACTCTTCTTGCCAATAGCTACATTCTGACAGCTGTCTCCCATCCTCAGGTAACTTATGTCAAGTGAACATCAACGAGTGTGCCTCTAGCCCATGTCTAAATCGGGGTACCTGTGTGGACGGAGTCGCCAGTTTTACATGTCTCTGTGAGCCACCTTATAGCGGACCCACCTGCGCAGAACTGCTCACACCTTGCACTCCCAACCCCTGTGCCAACCATGGTTCCTGTGTGCACACACCTGACTACCTGGGCTACCAGTGTAACTGCCAACCCGGGTGGCAGGGTAAGTCACTAAACACATTCTGATTCAAGTCTATAAGAATTGTGTTTGCTAAAGAATGTCTAACTTCAAGTGTCCTTCCCACCACAGGTCAGTTGTGTACCATTGACATAAATGAATGCACATCTAACCCCTGTAAGAACCGTGGGACCTGTACCAATACTTCGGGTGGCTATGTGTGCTCCTGCCGTGCTGGCTACACTGGACCCAACTGTGAAACAGATATTAACGACTGCTCACCAAGTGAGTCAAACTCAATATAAACCAGGTTTTTATTGCTGGTCTCACAAATGAAATGTTCCAACTTTTCTTCAGCACAGTTGGCGTGGTCTAATAATGTTTTTGGTTTTGTCAGACCCCTGTCTGAACGGAGGATCCTGTACAGATGGAGTAAACTCATTCCGCTGCAGCTGTCTGCCAGGCTTCACAGGGACACGCTGTGCTACCGAGGTAAATGAGTGTCAGAGCGCCCCCTGCAAGAACGGAGGCACTTGCACGGACTACGTCAACAGCTACACTTGTACTTGCAAACCAGGCTTCACAGGCCTACTCTGTGAGACCAACATACCAGACTGCACTGAAAGGTAAGTCTGTGAAGTCGCTCATACCTTTTAAAAGAATATGTAGCCAGTAGTAGCTCATAAACAAATAATCTCCTTGTTTTAGCTCCTGTTTTAATGGAGGCACCTGCACTGACGGGATCAACGGCTTCAAATGTACCTGCCGGTCAGGATTCACTGGAGATTACTGCCAGTACGAGGTGAACGAGTGTGACTCTCAGCCATGCCTTAACGGAGGAGTTTGTCAAGATGCCCTCGAGTCATATCGCTGCTCGTGTCCAAAAGGCTACACTGGTCCCCGTTGCCAGGTATTAATTCCAGATCATGCTATAACCTAAACATGCTTGCAATTTTTCTAAAATTACATTCAATAAAAAATTTATTGGAATAGAAGAATACATTTTTTTAAAAATAAACATTTAAAATCAGTTATAGAATAGAATCATTAAAATAAATTATAAAATAAAATATATCTTTTTATCTCTCTTTTAGTATCCAGTTGATTGGTGCAGGCCTTCTAACCCATGCAAGAATGGTGGTCGCTGCAGACAGAAAGATGCCTCCTTCACATGTGACTGTTTGGGAAGCTGGTCAGGTCGTTATTGTGACATCCCAGGAGTGTCTTGTGAAGTTGCAGCCAGACAGAGAGGTATATAAAATTGCATATGACTTTATTTTACAAATACAGTTTAAACATGATCTTCTCCTTGATAACGGTCAACACTCTCTCACAAAGGACTCCAAACAGATGAGCTTTGCCACCATGGTGGACACTGTGTCAATACTGGCAACACGCACTACTGCAAATGTCCCGCAGATTACACAGGCAGTTACTGTGAGTCCCAGTTTGACCACTGTGAGGACAAACCTTGCCTCAATGGTGCCACCTGTAGGAGCTACATGGGAGGATTCAACTGCGATGTGAGTCATCTTACCACTGCTACAAATAGCTTATATTATCATTCGCATTAGTATAAAGCCTAATTACCTAAGGAATATGAAGAACTGAAGATATTTCAGAACTGATATTGAACTGAAATGCTTTTTCTCCAGTGCATGCCTGGTTATGAGGGGAACAACTGCGAGAGAGAGGTCAATGAGTGTCAGTCTCATCCGTGTCAGAATGGAGGAACCTGCATTGACCTGGTGGGACATTACATCTGCTCCTGCCCTCCAGGCACACTGGGTAAGATAGATTTCTAAAATCACGGTAAAAAAAAATACTTGACCTGGAGTAAATGCAAAGAATGAAAGTTTTTTAACATCAAGTGCAAAAATCAAAATATACAAAACGTTCAGAATTTTGGGGTCAGTAAAGTTATTTGTTTTATAAAAACAGTAAAAAACAGTAATGTTGTTACAACTTAAAATAAGTATTTTCTGTTTTAAAATCATTTTAAAATGTAAATTATTCCTGGGATGCAAAGCAGCCATTAGTCCAGTCTTCAGTGTCTCATGATCTTTCAGAAATCATTCTAATATGCTGATTTGATGTTCAATAAACATTTCTTATTATCAATGTTGAAAACAGTTATGCTGCATATTATTTTGTAATACTATATTTATTTTGGATTCTATGAAGAACATAATTTAAAATAGACTTTTTTTAAACATTATACATTACTATCATTTTTGGTCAGTTTAAAGCATACTTGCTGAAAGTATTAATTTCTTTCAAGACAAAAATCTTACTGACCCCTAACCTTTGAATGGTAGTGTACATAGTTACACATAGGTTGGAATAAGGTCACTGTAATATTTTTAATATAACCTTTTTAGGGGTCCTCTGTGAGATAAACGAGGATGACTGCTCAACTCCCTCATGGCCTCGGGTGATGCCCAAATGTCAAAATAATGGCACCTGTGTGGACAGGGTTGGAGGGTACAGGTGTAACTGCCCTCCCGGCTTCACTGGAGAACGCTGTGAGGGAGACATTAATGAGTGCCTTTCCAACCCCTGCAACCCCTCCAACAGCTTGGATTGCATACAGTTGCCCAATGATTACCAATGCATGTGCAAACCCGGCTTCACAGGTGAGGGATGTCTGAAAACTGAAAAATGTGTCTGTGATTTACATATAACATTGTAATGTGTCTCTAAATTCTCACTTCATTGTGTCTTTAGGACGAGGGTGTCAGAATAGATTCAGTGTGTGCGAGTCTCAGCCCTGTAAGAACGGAGGAGTATGCTCCATGTCCGGCAGCTCACCACTGGGATACACTTGCACCTGTCAGCTTGTGAGTATCCAGGCCTTATATCATTATGATCTCGTTGTTTACTGTACTGTTAAACTTCAAAAGCAACTACTTGACTCCTTCTTGTCTCTTTCTCAGGGGTATGCAGGTGCTAACTGTGAGAGGAGCATGAATTGCAAAGAGCTGCCTTGCTACAATGGTGGCAGCTGTACTCTCACCTCACGAGGTGCACGTTGCACCTGTATTCTGGGCTTTGGCGGGCCTCTGTGTCAACACCGCAGCAATGAGGGCTGCTCCTCCAAACCTTGCCGCAATGGAGGCTTGTGTACAGAGGAAACCAGCTTCCCTTTTTTCCACTGCCAGTGCATCAATGGCTGGAAAGGCATACGATGCGAACAGGAACCCAGGCTGCTGCCACTTCCTCCTCCTTGCCCTATTGCTGAATGTCATGGCAAGGCCAATGACGGTGTGTGTGATAAAGAGTGCAATTCGTTCGCCTGCCGCTGGGATGGAGGTGACTGCTCTCTGGCTGCGAACCCCTGGGCACGCTGCTCAGACCCTCGCTGCTGGCGGCTCTTCAACAATAGTCAATGTGATGAGTTCTGCAACAATGCAGAGTGCCTTTATGATAACTTCGACTGCAAGAACAAAGAGAAAGTCTGCAAGTAGGTCTTGAACTAAGCTTTAATCGTGCTTCATTGGACTGTTTATGATGGTCTTTCTCTAATACACTCTCTCTTCCCTCAGCCCCATCTATGAGACATACTGTACAGACCATTACGCAGATGGGCTCTGCGATCAAGGCTGCAATACTGAAGAGTGTGGCTGGGATGGACTGGATTGTGCAGAGAAAATTCCAGAAGACCTTGCGGAAGACGTGCTGGTTATTGTAGTTCTGCTGCCTCCCGAGGAGCTACTAAGGACACAAACTGCTTTCCTGCAAAAACTAAGTGCAATACTGCGCACCACATTGCGTTTCCGCCTTGATCAGAATGGGGAATACATGATCCGACCCTATAAAGGACGTGAGACACGCATTAAACGGGAGCTTCAACCTCAGCAAGAGGTCATTGGGTAAGTTGGGGTTGCTGAAGTAATCGCCTTTGTACAGCAAAATAATGCGCATTTTGCCTCAGATTTGAGTTTCTTGAACTTGGAGCATTGACCAATATAAAGCAGCTTAGTTTGGAAGTAACCTCTCAGTGAATGGTGCTTCATGCATCTCTACAATATTGACAATACCAAACCTTTGCCCACAAAATTCACCAAAATTTCACTAAAGTGAATGTGCCTTAAATACTCTTTGGTTCTTCTGCAGGTCTATTGTATACTTGGATATAGACAACAGGCTCTGCTCCCAGGGTTCGGATGACTGTTTCCGCAATGCTAACAGTGCTGCAGAATACCTAGGTGCTTTGTCTGCTAGGGAGATGTTGAATTTCCCATACCCCCTGAAAGAAGTGCGCAGTAAGTATCCACACTTACACAAACTTAATTGCTTTCTTACATAGGTCCAGCTGTATTTCATAATCATACTAATCATTTCCAATTCTCTTTCAGGTGAAAAAATGAAAGATCCTGATGAGATTCCCGAATGGGGTAAGCTACTGCTAGTAGGGGTAGCTTCTCTCTTCTTGTTGGTTATCTTGATGGTGGGCATGTTGATTGCCCGCCGCAAACGTGAACACAGCACACTCTGGTTCCCTGAGGGCTTCTTCCTCAAGAAGGAAACAAGCAGTAACAAGAACCGCAGAGAACCTGTGGGCCAAGATTCCCTGGGCATGAAGTGAGTCTTTCATGCATTATTAGTGCTTTTAATATAAATATTTTCAGTAAAGTTCATTGAAATATCCCTTTCAAAAGGACTAATTAGCATTCATGGCTCTTTGCAGACACATGCCAAAGACAGTGGAAGAGTCTCTATTGGCAGATCACAGTGACCAGTGGGTAGACACAGACTGCCCAGAGGCAAAACGACTTAAGGTGACTGACCATTTATAATTTCTCTAACGATGTATGTGTATGCATCAATGAAACAGTTCTATATCTTAATAATGTTGGCTTTATTTATATACAGGTGGAAGAGCCCAGTATTCTGTCCGATGGTGAGGATGCAGTTGACAGCAGACAGTGGACACAGCACCACTTGGCAGCGGCAGATATCCGTATGCCACCTTCCATGGCTCTCACACCTCCACAGGGAGAATTTGACAGCGATTGCATGGACGTCAATGTCCGAGGCCCTGGTACGATATGTTTTGCTGTCTACTCTTACTCCTTGGTTAGGTCCAGTTGTCCCACCTGATCAGTGGCCTTGCATAGATAAAGTTCAGGTACAATAATAGCAAATGTATTCAAAACATTTACAAACTATTATTTCTTATAGATGGCTTCACACCCCTTATGCTGGCATCCTTCTGTGGAGGTGGGCTGGAGCCAGAGGTGACCGAAGATGATGATTCAGAAGAATGCTCCGCCAACATCATATCCGACCTCATTTACCAGGGAGCATCGCTTGCAGCTCAGACCGACCGCACTGGAGAGACCGCTCTGCACCTGGCTGCACGCTATGCCCGAGCTGACGCAGCTAAACGACTCCTGGATGCTGGGGCTGATGCAAACGCACAGGATAACACAGGCCGCACACCTCTGCATGCAGCTGTAGCAGCTGATGCCCAGGGGGTTTTCCAGGTAAAGTCACCTACAACCAAATATATTTGTTTATAAGTAGATTTGGACTATTGAAACCATGTCAGTGCTGATGTATCCCATATTCTCGCTTCTGCAGATTCTGATCAGGAACCGTGCCACAGACCTGGATGCACGCATGTATGATGGCTCCACTGCTCTGATCCTTGCAGCCCGTCTGGCAGTAGAAGGCATGGTAGAAGAGTTGATCACCTGCCATGCTGATGTCAACGCTGTTGATGAAATCGGTAAATGCAACAGAAAAGAAAAAGGATAGATTTTCCTGCTCCTGATGTGAGGTTGCATTGTTTCTGATGGTTCCATTCTCTCTTCACAGGAAAGTCAGCTTTGCACTGGGCAGCGGCAGTCAACAATGTTGAAGCTACAGTTGCCTTGTTGAAGAATGGTGCCAATAAAGATATGCAGGACCTTAAGGTATACAATCATATTCTTTTGAGGGTTTTGAAGGATTTATCTACTTTAGCCATGTTGTTAATTTTTACATCTATCTACTATCTTTAGGAGGAAACTCCACTATTCTTGGCTGCCAGGGAAGGTAGCTGTGAGGCTGTGAAGGTGTTGTTGGCTCACTTTGCCAACAGGGAGATAACGGATCACATGGACAGGCTCCCTCGCTTCTGCAGATTCTGATCAGGAACCGTGCCACAGACCTGGATGCACGCATGTATGATGGCTCCACTGCTCTGATCCTTGCAGCCCGTCTGGCAGTAGAAGGCATGGTAGAAGAGTTGATCACCTGCCATGCTGATGTCAACGCTGTTGATGAAATCGGTAAATGCAACAGAAAAGAAAAAGGATAGATTTTCCTGCTCCTGATGTGAGGTTGCATTGTTTCTGATGGTTCCATTCTCTCTTCACAGGAAAGTCAGCTTTGCACTGGGCAGCGGCAGTCAACAATGTTGAAGCTACAGTTGCCTTGTTGAAGAATGGTGCCAATAAAGATATGCAGGACCTTAAGGTATACAATCATATTCTTTTGAGGGTTTTGAAGGATTTATCTACTTTAGCCATGTTGTTAATTTTTACATCTATCTACTATCTTTAGGAGGAAACTCCACTATTCTTGGCTGCCAGGGAAGGTAGCTGTGAGGCTGTAAAGGTGTTGTTGGCTCACTTTGCTAACAGGGAGATAACAGATCACATGGACAGGCTCCCTCGAGATATCGCCCAGGAGCGCATGCACCATGACATTGTACAGCTACTGGATGAATATAACACTGTGAGAAGTCCGCAGGGCCATCCAGGGGCAGGTCACCACCTGTCTGGTAGCCACACCCTCTCACCACTCATGTGCCCTCCTAGCAACTTCCTCCAAGGGCTAAAAAGCACACCGCATGGTAAGAAGAACCGTCGCACAGGGGCTAAAAGCATAGGTGGGCAGCACGCTAGCAGCCTGAAAGATTCAGCCAAAGGACGCAACAAACGGCTGACGCTAGACATGCAGAGTGCTTTGCTGGAGAGCTCCGTCACGCTCTCCCCCGTCGACTCGCTAGATTCACCACGCGGAGGTGCCAGCAACGCCGGCTACATCACCAATCCGACCTCACCGGCCGCCATGCCCTCTCCAGGCCTTTTCCACTCCTCCATGTCTGTCCCTACCACTCCAATGGTGCACAGCAGTATCTTGGATGGCACCAGTCCTTTTGCAGTCTCCCTAGCTCAGCTGAGCAACCTGAGTGATGGTGGGCTCTCCATGCAGGGGCGTGTGGCCATGCAAGGAGGCATCATCAACCAAGGCCCTCACAACTGTGTGCTGAATGGCGGCCAGATGAGCCTCAACATGGGCATGGTAAGTCCAGTAAGCGTGCCATTTGACTGGCACAACCGCATGCCTCCATCTTCTCAGTGCAGTCAGCCCATGGTCAGCATTATGCATCCAGCAAGTAGCCAAGCAGGCATGATCCCTCAGACACCAACGCTGCAGCAAAGCAACATGCTCATGCACCAGCAGCAGATGTTCCGTAATGCCCAGCAGCCCATCCTGCAGCCGACACCCATCTCCAACACACCCTCTATTAGCCCGGTCAAACTGCCACCCATTGCAGAGCAGCAGCCGCAACAACTTCACAGCCACGCCCTTACCAATCCCAACCTCACCCGCATGGGCTCCTCCACTCCCCCGACCCCACAACAGGCACAGCCTCCTCCAGCTTTCTACCAGCCACAGCAGCCACAGACTCAGCCACCGCAGGCCTTGGCAGCCCCTCAGGCTTCGCAAGCACAGGCTATCCCGTCTCAGGCACCCCCGGCACAGGCGAGCGTTAGCACCGCAGGCCCGGAGGATTACCCCACACCGCCCTCCCAGCACAGCTGCAGCTCTGCCATGGATGCAACACCCAAGCATTATCTACATGTGCCCAGTGAACATCCTTACCTGACCCCTTCTCCAGAGTCTCCAGAGCCCTGGTCCAGTCCCTCCCCTCACTGTGTGTCCGATTGGTCTGACTCCACCCCCAGCCCAGCCGTCACGGCTCCTGCTCAAACCCAGATTTCGCATGTCCAGGAGTCCAATGGGAAGATGCAGGTGTTTGCTTGAGCAGCTCAACCTACCTTAAATGTTTGTGACTTTGAGAGAGTAGAGTTGACGAGCGTTTTTTACTTACCTGTCAGCCCATTTCCAAGATTTTAATTGGATTAGGATTGACTGTTTTGCGTCAAGAAGACCGTCTGCTGGTGTCCGCAGAAAGAAAGTAAAAGGGAAATTTGTGTTGTCTTAAAAATAAAAGACAATTTAATGAAGTAAGACGTTCTGTCACAGATGGACTTGTTTTTTAATTATAAAAAAGTATATGAAGTATACCACGTCTTTCATTTCAAAGACTTGGGGACACTCCTGAAACTAACAAACTTTAAAAAAAAAAAAAAAAATAGATTGAGAGAAAAGTGAAATGTTGAAGGAAATTCCTTTCTTTTTATTTATTGTCTTATGTTTTTTCCAAACTGCCTTGGGGGTGTTTTCACCCTCTTTCTGTCTCTGTTGTTTTTAGTGACCCCCATAACAACTGCCTTACTACTCCCAATATATTACGTGGGACTCGTGAGGTCTCCTCAGGTTCCATGTTACTACTGTTACAAGAGGAGCAACTCATGATTGCTTAGTTTGCCTTTTCCGCCCCAGTTTCATCAGCAATTGATACAGTCAGAACTTATACACCAGGCTTTTAAGTGACACGCACACACACATAATGAGATTAGAATTTTTACAAATTTTAGTGATATTTATTTAGTCTAGCTTTCAGAAACAGATCGGCACATGAAAACAGAGGTATATAGAGACCAATACAAGTGAAATATTCTGATTTAAAATTATTTTATATGTTTTGTAAAAGTATTTGTATGAATGTAGAGGGGCATCTGTGAAGCACTTCAAGGGGAAAAGCTTGAGAGAGAGAGAGAGAGAGAGAGAAAGGTAAAAAAGGTAAGAAAAAACCCTGAAATCATAGTTCAGCATTTATAACAACAGTGCATATAAGCGCCTCTCTAAAACAGGCCAGTGTTTAGAATGTTTTCAGTGTTGGCGTTGTATCAGTGGAAATTATTTTACTGAACATAGTTTCTTAAGTGACCTCACCGACTTACATAGGCCTGAGCTGGCCAACGCTCTACCCGTTCCCTCTCAAAATCCCAGCCAGTCACTGCCTTATAGTCTTGCCTTGTGTAAATTTGTTTTCTGTTTGTCTTTTTATAACCACATTTTTGGAACCACAGTTACCTGTGGAACATTGATGTATTAAGCTGTGTTATTAGGCTGCTGCTCTGCGTCACTTCTTCAGTGACAGCCAACTTTTTTTCCGCTAACATTCCTGATCAGAACCCACCAACCAGCACTCGTGGAGCCGATGACCGTTGCGGAACTGATCTCACTGTGTTCCTGAGCCCTCACAAGCACTTCATTTCAATACTGAACAGCTGCAGCTGACACTTGACCACTAGAAAGTCTTCCTCTGGGGCTTTATGAAGCCAAGGCAGTGTGGTTGATTTAGTTTAATGTAATTTGATCCCTCAGGTCCAGCATTTCCATGTGGTCTAATCATATTCCAGCTCCTTTTGGTTTGGATAGCAAGCATATGTGTTGTGTGTTGGGTACGTGGCTAACGGGGTTCTAATGGTCTGCTATTGCTCTGTCACTCCTCAGGGAGGTGTTATACAGCATGCAGTGTTGTCTGCATCTTTAGCAGTTCCCACCCCATCAGCTTAGACGATGACATCTGTCGTGTCTGGTCAGAAGGTGTGAGATGGGAAACACTACCATGTAGTGATGCCCCTGGCTTTCTGTAACATGTCCGTATGTTCATCCCTTTTCAGTTTTCCCAACTGTAAGACCTGCATTTGATGACACTGACAGCTGTTTTCGTGCTATCGCCAAGAGGAACACACCCATTTCACTGAATTATGGCACATAAACATTGCTTTCAGCCATACATTATTATTTTAAATAGTATTTGTGCTTAATCTATACTGAGTGTGCAGCTATGAAACTGTTAAATCTTCATGTACCACATTTCAAGGCTTGTGGTGGTTTTGGAGCACATTCTGGACCTCTTTGTTTTCCTACATAAGTACTACTAAGCTTCGCTAACCCAGCATAAGTCTTCCTTTCATTCATAACTTTTCACTTCTCATGATACAGTTCTCCAGATATTTTTGAAATTCCAGTACCTTTCTGTAAATATGTTTCACCTTGTTTAGGTCTACTTGGTTATGAGAAGTCTTATGTTTCTAAAAATGAATATGTACTAAAAAGAACAAAAAGTAAATGTACTTTTTATTAGCATTATTAAGGTGAGGATGTGACTGTGTATTGGTCTTGCATAACTAGAACAGCCATAGATATTTTCTATTGTCATTATTAATTTCCTATACTTGTTTAAAAGTAGTTTAAAATCATTGTATATAAACAGTTTTTCACAGTTTCTTTCTACAGACAAAGTTGTAAAATATGTTACTTCTAATAAAGCGGTAGAAACTACATTTCACTAATGTCTTATTCTTTTTGTCTCACCTCTTTTATATTTCCATGCATTCTGAATCCATCCAGTATTTTGTTTTAGATCAGATAAACTGGGAAACTCCAGCACTTAGCCTACTAAACACTTTTTGTCAAATATCAACCCAAAGCATCTAAAGATGCTCATAATGAAAATAAACTCACTGGATACTCAAATGTTAATGATTAAACACCAACAGCCATTCGTGGCAAGTGGGGATACTGCAGGCTGGGGCGATGGGTGTGGAGAAAGGTCTTCGTGATTAGTCGACAAAGCTGTCTGTCAGGGTGTGGGGGGTAGGGTTAGGGCTGGCTTAAGGGTAGTTTATGTTGTACTGATTCACCTTTTGGAACGCCTCCTTTCGGCACGCCCATTGCTCCAGGCTGCAGCTACCCCTGTCTCATTCCTGTTGGAGAGCCTTTCACGTGGAGAATTTAAAGGAACACTCCACTATTTTTGACAATAGGCTAATTTTGCAACTCCCCTAGAGTTAAAGGGGTCATATGATGCGATTTCAAGTTTTCCTTTCTCTTTGGAGTGTTACAAGCTGATTGTGCATAGATAAGATCCCTGCGTCGTTAAAGGAACACTCCGCTATTTTTGAAAATAGGCTCATTTTCCAACTCCCCTATAGTTAAACAGTTGAGTTTTACCGTTTTCGAATCCATTCAGCCGATCTGCGGGTCTGGCGGTAGCACTTTTAGCTGTATCTTAGCATAGATCATTGAATCTGATTAGACCGTTAGCATCTCGCTCAAAAATGACCAAAGAGTTTCTATATTTTTCCTATTTAAAACTTGACTCTTCTGTAGTTACATCATGTACTAAGACCGACGGAAAATGAAAAGTTGCGATTTTCTAGGCCGATATGGCTAGGAACTATACTCTCATTCCTGCATAATAATCAAGGAACTTTGCTGCCATACTATGGGTGCAGCAGGCGCAATGATATTACACAGACCCAGGGTAGTGTAGACTACCGCCAGACCCGGAGATCGGCTGAATGGATTCAGAAACGGTAAAACTCAACTTTTTAACTCTAGGGGAGTTGGAAAATTTGCCCATTTTCAAAAATAGTGGAGTGTTCCTTTAAAAACACAAAATCTGAAATTGACACGCCCTCTATTGGTATTCAGTGATATTGTAGCTTCTACATGTGAAGTTTTGCTGACTTGTAGACATGAGCAGTAAAGGTAAAATCTTTGCGTGGCAGAAGCAGCTGCCTGCCACAAAGATCTGCCACCGCTGAATGCGCCTGCCACTCGAAGATTTTACTCCCTCTCGACCTGAGTACAAGTTGTTTGTTTTTGCATGTGTTGTTTCTCATGAGAAGAGGAGCACATGTGGGAAATTTCAAGCCTGTAGTTAAATTATGCTTTATAAATTATGCCGTTATAAGGCAACCACATAATGGCACTAACACACAAGATATTTGAGATTAATTTAAGCCTTGCAGACCAAACACTCAATGCAACACATCAACCTAGTGCAAAACATCTGAACACTTTCAATGTCTAACAACATTTATGGATGAACTTCCGAAAATACATGTTTTTTATATTTTATTTGTAAAGGGCTAAGAATTTTCATGCTTTTTATTTCCAATGTGTGAACAGCTTGTAATGAAACTTAGCAAACTTAGACCTTCCCTGACTTCCCAGGTTGTCAATAGCCCTATTCGGAAAGTAATTGTTTCTCATGTGGACGTCTGTATTTACATGGCACCTCAGTGATAAAACTCATGGATTCAGTTGGCGAATTTTTTATTTTTTTTCCCTACAGTGCATAAGCTAATTTCTGTCTAGAATATTCTATCTCTCAAAATGTTGGATGTCAATAAAAAGGTGGAGATTAACAGAAAAAAAGTTAATGCTACCTCTTATTTACATGAGGTACCTGTTTGGTTTATATTTTTATGTAATTGTATGCCTATTGCATATTTTAAAATTGTATTGCATACCTGTTGCTGCCATAGAAATGAATGACCCATTTCATTACGTGCATTTTTTCTTCCACTCGCTGTTGTGGAGCAGTTATGAAATATTGTTCTTGTACTTTCCAGCATTTCAACATTTTTTCCCCCTGTAATATGCATGCAAATTAGCGAAGTGCTGTACGTGTTCAGCAGTGGTCAAAAACAGGCACGGCGCCAGACAATTCTTGAGTGGCATAAGTTATTCTATTTTTAAATAACAGCTGTATATTGAGATGTGGTGGAAATGACATTTGTTCATTGCAGGTTGGAAAAAATGTAAAATATTAACAATTTCTCTTGTAATCTAAGTTTGTCCTCTTACAGACCTTAAAACTAGACAAATTATTTAAACTTATGAGACTGTGTTACGTGACTTTTGAACAAGTTTTTTTTATTCAACTTCACAAGGATAAAAGTGCCCCTAGTTGAAGAAACGCCCATATATACAGTTTAAAATACTATACTGCCTAAAAGGTGAATGTGTTTTGCCAAAAAAGAGTTAATTCAAAATATAGCCTATAGCTATGGTCCATATCTCAAATACACTTAGAACTGAACTATCATAACAGTGTAATTTTAATTACCTTATCTGTCGTCGTGATGCCGGTGAACTGCAGAACTGGTGCAAACATATCCACATTGCTATGATCAGATACTTTTTTAGCTTCTGCTTTCTCACCTCTGCCATTTTGTTGTGTGTTTATTTTGAGAGGAAAGTACTTGAGAGAGAGCAAGTGCAAATCGCGGCAGCTGCACTTCCGGTGGCATGTTTGTGGCAGCTGCTGTTTTTTACTAGATAAACTATATTATCAGCACCAGTGTTGGGGAAAGTTACTTTTAAAAGTAATGCATTACAATATTGCGTTACTCCATAAAAAACTAATTACGTTACTTGGTTACTTTTTATGGAAAGTAATGCGTTACGTTACTTTTGCGTTACTTTTTAAATCTGGACAGGGCTTGCTTGTTTGTTTTTAAAATAAAAAAAAGTTATATTTTTGGCAAATATAAAAGCCTTTTCACACCAAAAGTGAAATGAATAAGCCTCAGGCTGAAGAAAAGTAAATTTACGTCTGTACAGTTAGAATGCAGAAGAAGAAATTTCAACACACTTCAGCAATAAAAAAAGACACAAATGTTT